CCGGTCGATAGCTCAAATAAGACCCTCCGGTCACTCGGTATTACCACTCAGGTACGTATAGTGAGAAGACTCACCTCGTAAGCAAGCAAGGAAACTGGATACCCCTCGAACAGCCTAACCTCCGCCTACACGCAATAAGCATCTCTAATTAACACTTAAATATCACAACTTTATATACACTCATGCTAATCCCTCTCTAACTCTTGGGATGGGTAAAAGACCATTTTATCCCTCCATGGTCCCCATAATCCCTGCCTTGACCAAACCCTAAAGTCAACAGAAGCCAACACTCGAGTCAACTGTCCATGTTGACCTGACTCGCCGGGTGCACCTATGTGACTCGCTGAGTCCCCATTATTCCTTAGAACATCGTGAAAACCCAACTTAACTCGTCGAGTTGTCTCATCAACTCGCTGAGTTACCCTTTATTAGACTCATCGGGGAAAACCCTAGCTGACTTGTCGAGTCAGCTCATTGAATCGGCGAGTCCATTCAATCTGTATTCTCATTCAGACGTTTTAAGGCAGATCCACCACTACAAACTCTAGATCTAGTCTCCTAAGGCTCGAATGTCAAGTAAAGCTTCGATTTTTACGTTCATGCATGGTATATTTGCTCCATAATGCCAATACAAGCTCCAACAAGGGTTAGATGCACAAGATCTTGTCTCTAGCTCAATAAAGTTCGGGTCTTTAGACTCACAAGACCTCCTACAATCCAGATCTGGGGTTTCAACCTCAAATCATAATCAAATGACTCAATGACACAAAAGGATGAGAGAAAACCCTAGAAACTCCCTAAACCAAGATCTCATAAGAAAATGATCAAGTTAGCATATTTTTACCTCCAACTGAAGCAAAACCCTGATGAACCTCTAGATCCAAAGTCTCCTCTTGATCCAAGCTTTGATGCTCTCCACTTCTCCTTCAAAAGTGCACTAATAATCACAAGATTAGCTTCTCTCTCACTCTCTAGCTCAAGTGGATGATTAGGGTTTCTCTCAAGGATGTAAGGTGGCTGGTGAGGCGGAAATGAGGGCTTAAGGCCCCTTAAATAGGTCACAAACCCGGGGATATAGGGTTTCCTCACACAGTGCCTACTCGGCGAGTCGGCTCTCTGACTCGTCGAGTTGGTCATTAGACCCACGTGACCAATCCAACCCTACTCGACGAGTCGGGCACACAACTCGCCGAGTTACTCATTAAATCCCAAAAATAAATATATAAATGTAATACCTGAGAGTTGGGATGTTACATACGGGCCCCACCCGAAATATATAACGGACCCCACCCAACAAAAATAACGGGCCCCGACGTTCCGCCCAACATACATGCAAGAGTCATAAAGATAATATGCATCCTTCACAATATAGTGAAAATACTTACCTGAATAGAGATGTATTTCCAGCTTGGATCCAGAAGATAGGGTCTTGGTTTGAAGAATAGGGACTTAATACATTAAGAAGGTTGACAGACTGAAGAAATCGACGAGTTCATAAGAGAACTCGATGAGTTGTTTTGGAAGTGTCACGACTTTGTTGGAAAAAAGAGGAACTCGACGAGTTGTAGGAAAAACTCGACGAGTTGGATCGTGACATCACAATTATGTGATTTATGGAAAATCGACGAGCTGGAGAGTAACTCGACGAGTTGAGTCAACTCAGAATGTTGACTTTGACTTTGACATTGGTGTTTACCTTGACTTTGACCAAATTTGACCCTTAAGGGGTTATGAGTATGAAAGGATACTTAAAGGAAATCTTTTATGTTTAGGAGTTTGAGTTGGATTGATATTCGGGGCCGAGGATTTTCAGCTACTTTCCAGTATTCGAGGTGAGTTACCTTCTCGGTAGTAGTGGGTCTAAGGCACCAAGGCCGGCCCACTAGTAGGAGTTTGTAGTTAGATGATTATATTTGTGATAACTGTCTGGCATGCCACTATCTGTTATGATTTATGTGCTAGTATGCTATTATATTATGTGGTAGTGTTAGGGGGTGAAATAGACCCCATATCCGGTTGATAAGACCGAAGGGGTAGGTCGGGCACCCATATATGCCTGACAGTATGTTTATGTATGATTATGTATGCTGTTATGGGGTAGTGGTAGGGGAAAAATAGACCCCGTAACCGGTTGAAGGAGACCGAAGGGGTAGGCCAACACCCAGATATGCTAGGCAGTTACCGGTTGAAAGAGACCGAAGGGGTAGGCCAGCACCTTGATATGCTAGGCAATATCGGTTGAAAGAGGCCGAAGGGGTAGGCCAGCACCCGGATATGCTAGGCAGTATGTTTATTTTATGGTATGTGGTATGATGGGGGAACTCACTAAGCTTCGTGCTTACGGTTTTCAGTTTTGGTTTCAGGTACTTCTTCTTCGAAAGGAAATGAGCTGGCATGATCGCAACTCATCACACCATGATTTTCCACATGACTAGATCTTTGGGTGTTGTACTCTGATATTATCTTTTATGACTTGATTCGATGTTTCACATATTGGTTTATTTATGACATGAGATGACACTATTGATGTTTTCAGACTACCGGTTTTCTTAAGTATTTAATTAAAAATGAAATTTTTGGTCTTACATTTTGGGATGTTACAAGAGAGCTCATGCATTTTCTCTAAACTTGACCAAAATGTCAGATATGAAGTCCATTATGAATCTAAGATCATGGAGTTGTCCAAACTCCCAAGGCCAAACCATTAAAGGGACCAAAACACTAAATTATGGACCAAAACACCATTATCTCATAAATCCAAAGATGAAATACTATAAAGCTTGAAATTTTATGACTTACAAAGGTCCATAAGGTAGATGAAAGTTGAGATCTTCAGTTGTCAAGCTTCAAGGACCAATCTTGGTGATTTTAGTGTCACCTGACATTTTGTGTAGTTGGAAATGATGTAACACCCGTATCCTCAGGTATGATTTCTAATATTTAATTGTGTCATTTATACAAATTGGGTTCCCCTATGTTGGGCGTTGGTAAAAGATTCCACGTGAATGTTTTAATGCTTTACGTTGGGTGTAGAGATATCTATGTTGGGCGTAGGAGTGCAACATCTAAACCCTAATTGAGGGGTTGTGAGCCCTATTTAAAGGCTATAACTCTTTGAGGGCCTCCCCATGCTCAGATACATAAGTGTCCTTTTGGATTATCTTATATTTGATTTCGTGTAACTCATGCATAGGGTGGAAATATCAGTTCAGAAAATGAACTTACACAATCCATAAGGAATCCGGTTTTCCACCACCCCCCTACATTCCACTCCCCAACAAACACATTACTCTAAACCACCAAAAACACGCCGAAATGGATGAAAGGATATGGGAGAAGCTAATATTATGAAGAAGGAAGCTAGGGTTAACTCCAAAGGGCTCTAGATGTAATGGAGGATGAGAAAATGACCTAAAACACGGAACCATTCCCTTAAATATGGTGAAAACCCTAGATTTTATGGGCTTGGGCTGCACAGCTACCACTTCGTGGTCATAGTATTACCAAGCCATGATTACGAGTTTTTGCTAATTTATTTTCAACTTTAAACAATCATAACTTCTTCGTTTCAAATTCGTTTTCAATGATCTTTATATACATGCAGACGTATTAACAAGCCCCGCAATCATATTTAATTACTTTTGACTTAATACATATCGAAGTAAATTCCATTAATTCAGGCAAATAGTCCCGAAATATCATTTTTTCCCATTTTACCCTTTTTGGCTCCAAAGCACAATTCAAAGACTTAAATCACGTAACCAACATTATCAACATTTAACAAGGTCTAAACTTTATCCCCTTGAAGCCCGAGACCTCTACTCGATCAAATTATGGTCCACAAACCCGAAATAAGAAACATCCTAAAACTGGATGTTACAATATATACATATGTATATTTAACTAAGAATTTTCTTACATCTAACGGTGGTGTGCATCGACCTTCGAGTTGTGTATACTCCGGATAACTTGATCGATCGAGATGTTCAATTTGCTTTGAAAATAATTTTTTTAACAGACTAAGTGAAATTCAACTATCTAAGTCCAATAAACTGGTTCAAATGTTTTTACCGGTTCGATCACCTCACTTCAAATGATTTTTATCGGTTCTATCACACCGGTTCAACTCGATTTTTGAAGAAACCGGTCTTTATTGAACCACTCTCGTTTATGGTTCCCGATTCGACCGACCGGTTCAAACTGATCTTTAAAACATTGGTTATCTATGAATTTTGTCCATAATTTTTTTTAAACTACAGATAGTTCTCAAGGGATGTTTTTGTTACGTCTTTGATCCATACCTGATGTAAAAGTCTGTTTTCCCCTTAATAATTTTGTTTAGTTATAATCGTCATCAATGTTTAATGTTGTGCATAATCAAGTTTTATAAACCAAAACAAATCGAAAAACCTTTAACCCGTTATCTACTCATTTAACCCCTCAACTTTGATGACTAATTTTTATATTCATCTATTGTCGATTTTGAATGTAATATACCACGAGGAGATGGAGATTCCAGAAAAGTCTACAAATAAATAAGTGAAAGTTTGACTTACGTGCAAAGAAGAAGCTAAAAAGTTAAATCTATTGAATGAAGGTAGATGAAATAGATGTCTAAAAGTTAGAAGAAAACACTATATAAAAAATAAGTGACCAATGTGTATATTGTGGAGGAGAACACAAATATACAAATATATTTCCATTTTTGTTTCAAACATGAACCAAATTTTGTGTTTAAACCTGGGCAAAACCCATTTTTCCAAAATGACTTTTCCAATAAAATCAACTATCATAAATTTATTGGAAATCCTAAACTACCTTCAAAAAATCAAGATAAGAAAAAATACTTGTTTTTATGAGACCTTACTTTGTAGTAATTTTTTTTTTTGAAAAATCTTGGAACTTTCTAGAATAGATATTATTTTGTGATAAGCCTCTTCAATTTTGTGATTACCCATTATTTTTCACCTTTAAGTAGATATCTATGTTTCATCAATTTAAGATTTCGGGCCCTTTTTTTCACATTGCTTTAAAACCTCAAGTCAAGCAATCGTCCGTCTCAGTACTTTAACTTCGTCTTCCTCGTTTGTTTCTAGAGACTTCTCTGCAAGTCAATGGCGTCTGATCTCGTCGCCAAGGCTAAAGAGGCTTTCATTGACGATCACTTTGAACTCGCCGTTGACCTATATTCCCAGGCCATCCTCATCAACCCTACCGACGCCGACCTGTTCTCCGATCGGTCTCAGGCTAACATCAAGCTCAAAAACTTCACAGGTATACCACGTCTCTTATTTGTTCATTTGTATGTTCAGATCCTGATACGAAGAACAAACCGGACCAAGTGTTTTAGTTTTATATTGCATGCGTAGTTTAATTCAACCGGATAAATAGCATATCTGATTAATGGTAGGTTGTAGAATTTGATTTTGTCTAACAGGTAGCTCTCTGAGCGTTTTGGTTACCTGACATCCCGATTGTTCATGGAGAGATGTTTGTGATGGCTTAATGAATTGATTAGTTGTCTGATACTTTGGTTTATATGTAGGTGTTTTTTTGGTGTGGTAATTGATATAGGTTTCTTTATGCTGGAGTTGTTCTAGTAGCTTGAAACATGTTTGATTAAAGTAAGTTTTGAAAATTTGTAATTTATGCAGTTCTGTGATCCATGGATTTTTTGTTGCTAAATGACAATCTGTTTTGTTCAAAATCAATCAATTAGTTTGAAAGTAGAATGTGAGTACACACGGTGTGTCTTATGTCATTCATGTTACGAGGTAGTGGTATAAAAGCTAAAGAACCTGCACCATATCAAAAGTTCTTGATTCCTACAGATGATTGCTAGGTTAACTATTGGTGAATTTGAGTATTATGCGCTTCCTGTATCTGCAATGATATAGGTTCATTGAATCACACTTATTCTCACTTTCAAAGTAAAAGAATATGTAATTTGTCAACGACCAATTGAGTTGATTACTCTAAGTCATGCTGATTGTGCACATACGCTTTTGGCATTAGTTGGCACTATTTGAGAAGTCATGCAAATCAAATGCAGGGAGTCTACTTCTAAATTAGAATACAAACATAGATGAATAGATTTGGAAAGATTGAATAAGAACACAGTTGGTGAAGATGTGCTATTCATTTTCATGAATTACGTGACTTGTTTTGGTTGCGTGTTTGTTTACCCTAGATAGGAATTTGAGGGAGGATAGAATAATGTTGATGTTGTTGTATATTCTTTCTTTTGTCATATTTAGTAACACCAAAAAGTACATCGATTTTAAGTCTATAAAAGTGTTTGTACCTTTTTAAATTTAGTTACTTTGTGCTGTGGACTGATCCGTGTTTCATGCCATTGACCTTTCCATTTCAACATAACTACCATGAAAGTTTCTATATTTATCATCCCTTTTCAACATAAGCAGACAAGATCATATGTTTATTATTATTATTATTCATTGGAACAGAAGCTGTTTCTGATGCGAACAAAGCAATTGAGTTGGACCCCACAAATCCAAAACCATATCTGCGCAAAGGGTAAGAGGCTCTTGAAATATTTCATTTTAATTTGTTACCCATTTTTTTAAAATGTGTCATTTTGATATCTTGTGCTTATGTATATGAATAATTGAATATCATCCAGTAATTAAATGTTTGCCTGTTTCTCATTTGGATAGCACTGCATGTTTCAATCTTGAAGAATATCTGACAGCTAAAACAGCCTTCAAAGCTGGTGCTTCTTTAGTTCCAGATGATACAAGATTCATAGAATGGATCCAAAAGTGTGACAAATGCATTGCAGGTGATTCCTAAACCCTAAACCCTATTTTACCCAAATCAATAAAAAGTTTCTAATTTTTTTTTTTTTTTGTTAATAAACAGAGGAAAATGATGAGGTACCGATGCAATCTGTGGACTCAGTTTCAACCCCCACTGAGGTAGTGACTACTCCTCAAGCACCTGAAAAAACCGATGCAGCTACAAAAGATGTGGAACAAGTAAATAACGTCTCTACCGAATTGGCAACAAGGACTCCTGCCAAACCAAAATTCAGGTCATATATATATTTTTTTATAGAAAATGATAATGACTAATTCCATTAGGGGTAAATGTGCATTTATGCAACAACGTTTTATCTTTTTTCTTAATTAATGCAACAAAGTGTCTCTTTAGATAAAATATGAAACCGTGTTCCGGTCTATGAGACTACAACCAAAATATGAAACATTTTATCCAGAAATGTTCCATTTTTACCCCTTTATGTAACAATATTTCTCTTTTAAATCGATTTATTTAACAATGCTTTACCTTTTTTACCAAATAATGCAACTGACATGAATTATGCAAACCATGTTTCTACTGATTAAAATTGCATCTCTTGGTACTAAAATGAAACGTTGCTACATATTTTGTGTATAAAAGTATAAAACCCCACTTTATTTAATAATTAGGTTAAACTGTGAAAATGTTGTTGCATAAATGCACATTTAAGACTATTCCATAATCAGCAAATGAGTTCCCTGAGGTTCTTACTTGGCAACATGAAAAATATGTTGCACTTATTTTCTCATATATATATATATATATATATATATATATATATATATTTCTATTTTAGTATTATTTTCCAACAAACCATATATTATATATATGCAGGCATGAATTCTATCAGAAACCAGAGGAGGCAGTTGTGACCATATTTGCAAAAGGCATACCAGCTGAGAATGTCTCAGTTAGCTTTGGTGAACAAATAGTATGTTGCCATTTCATTTTTCTATTTTTTTTATCTAGATAAATAGTACATTGCTATTTAATGGCTAGTAACTGGTTTTATTTGTTTTTTTTCAGCTAAGTGTGACCATTGACATCCCTGGTGAAGAGGCGTACATTTTTCAACCACGATTGTTTGGAAAGGTAACATGTGCACTTAAAAGCAAACTGTTTTTTCTTTAATATATATTGTATTAACTTACCTATTGTTTTTTTTTTTTTTTTATAAATAAAACAGATAATTCCTGCAAACTGCAAATATGTTGTCCTGTCAACAAAAATAGAAATTCGTCTTGCAAAAGTGGAACCAGTTCACTGGACATCTCTTGAGTTTAGTAATAACAGTTTGGTTGTAAGAAGCAGCACTGTTTCATCAGGTGACTCATTTTCTCAAATGTTTTTTAAACATCATTTATCCAGTCAATATTAAATTAGGAGTAATTTACATTTTTAGTCCTTGAGTATAGTTTGTTTTTGTCAAATTTAGTCCCCAAAAGGTTTCTCTTGCAGTTTTGGTTCTTATTTGAGGTTCTTGTAACATTTTTGGTCCATGTTCCAAAGTAAAATGACTAATTTTGCTCCCTGAGTATAGCTGATTCTTGCAACTTTGGCTCCAAGAAGTTTTCTCTTGCAAATTTGGTTCTTATTTGAGGTCCTTGTGACATTTTTGGTCCTTGTTTCAAGTAAAATGGTTAATTTTGATCCTTGAGTATAGCTGAATAGTCATTTTTACTTGGAACAGGGACAAAAAAAACATTATGAAAACCTCAAATAACAATAAAACTTGCAAGAGAAGTTTTTAGGACCAAAAATGAATAAATTAGCTGTACTCAGGGACCAAAATTGTAACTTACTCTTAATATAGTGCTTAAACTTGCTCTTTAATGATTGATAAATATAGGTAATCAAAGACCAATGTACCCTTCCTCGAAACCTACAAAAGACTGGGATAAACTTGAAGCTCAAGTGAAAAAGGAGGTATATCTTTTGACCTAATGATGCCTCACTTGTCCCCACAACTGATGACATGGCATTCAGTCTCACAAAGTAATAACTGAATCTTTTATTGACAGCAATGATAATAATAAGACTTATTTGATTTTCAGGAAAAAGATGAAAAACTTGATGGTGATGCAGCTCTGAACAAGTTTTTCCGTGACATATATCAAGATGCTGACGAGGATACAAGAAGGGCCATGAGAAAATCTTTTGTAAGACCAACTGTTTTTTTTTTCTTTTCTAAAACACTAGAATTAGCAATATACTTTCATTTATTCCTATTACAACATTGTATTTTTGAAAATCTACCCAAGATTATAGCAATGTCATTCAAATTTAAATCAATTTTCATGTGGTAGATTTTTAAAAGTATAATGTCCTAATAAGAAAAGAACTGAAAGTAGAGTTGATATAATTGGTGGATTTTTCAAAGTATAGTTGTCTTGATAAGAGTTTTTTTTTTTTTTTCAAAGTATGGTTGTTTTTTCAAAGTAGAAAAGTTATTTAATAAGAAAAAGAATTGAAAGTAGATTGTGGTAATAGAAAGAATAAAAGTACGTTGCTATTTTGTTATTAACAGGTGGAGTCGAACGGGACAGTGCTGTCGACAAACTGGAAAGAGGTGGGATCGAAGGAGGTGGAAGGAACTGCACCAGATGGTATGGAACTCAGGAAATGGGAATATTAATTAAAAGTCTCAAGGCAACTTTTGTTTTGTTTTTGTTTTGTGTGTCATAGCTCATAACGTTGGTTAATCTGTTATTCATTTTCCTTCTACTAGTTTTGCTTTTTGTTGCTATTTACTCTTTAAGTTTATACATCCTTAAGAGTTTTTTTTGGTATAGATGTGTTTTTGACTTTTATGTTTTGATGAAAATTTTCTCATTTTGGTTGATAATGAAAAATGTATGGTTTTGTATTTGTTTCTTTTCTTTAAAAAAATATTCATGTTTATAGCCCACCAAAGTGGTTAGGTCTATCCAGACACATGGAATAAGAGGCTGTTTGGTATGCCTCTTAATGGTTCCATCACGAGAGGTACGCTCTTGGTTGGACTTATATTAGCCTCTGAATGGGACATCCAACCTCTTAATGGCTCTGAATCGTTCAGATATGTTGGCATTGCTGAATGGAGCTGATGGAGCCTAATTTCTATAAGGTAAAATCGAACTACATTTTGTAGGTTAAACCAAACTACAAAATAGAATTTCATGTTGCAGGTGGGTATCAGATTAAACTTATTTTCATCTCAAAAACTATATGTGCTTGGTATTAGCTTTGAGGTTCTTTATGTACTTTTCTTATGCAATGTTGTACGTATATTCAGTTTGCTTGATCTTGTAAAGTATTCTTGTAGACGGCTAAGTAGATAATGCTTCCAAATATTGTTCTTAGAAGCTTGATATTACAAACAATACTGGTGCATATGTGAGCAATTAGAAGTCATCCCTGTGGCCCCATTCTCTTTTGCAAGGGTTAAACAAACCTCTTTTGTCACCCTTTAAGATTTCTCTATTTTCTCCTCTATGTTTATCCTTTTCTTTCTCTTGTTTTCTTAAGGCTTCCCCTTTGACATTTTTGGAACTGTTATTAGAAAGTCTTCGTGGTGCAAGTTTTTAAAAGGTCTTACTTTTCAGATGGCATCCTAATCAAATTTAAGTAGAAGTCATTTTCTTAGGGTGTGTTTGGTTCACGATTTAGAAGAACTGGAATATAAATTCTAGCAGAAATCGCATTCCATTAATAAAATCAAAGGAATAGGAATTCGTTAAAAGTTTTCATTAAATTATGTGTGTGAAAAACTTGGTATTTTTTTGGCAAAAGGCAAAGAATTTTAAATTCCATTTTGTTTTACTAAAAAAACAAAAATTTGCTCCATTTTTTCTTTATTTTAACAATGATTCATCAAATCAAAACATATTATCATCATCTCTTTCACACTCTAACCACTGACGCAACCTGCCCGACTGCCTTTACTCTTACCCATACTGACAAACATCCACTCACCCTACCCCACACCTACACCCTCCCCTACCCTACCACACACCCACATCTAGACCCACATGTACACGACACTCATCCCACCCCAACTCTACCCCACCCACATATCCCACATCGACAACCACATGCAAACACCCACACCCAAACGCCTACACTTTTATTAAAGATAACAATAAGTTTCAAAAATCATTAAAATAGTATTTTGGTAATATTACATCATTTACTTTCTAATTCATTTGATAAATCTTCAAACAAAAAAAAAAGTACATTCATTGTCAACCAAACACATAACAAATTTCAATTCTTTTAAGACTTTTAACCCTTTTTATAGAAAAATTTGTTAACAAATATACAATTTAGTCTATGTTTATACATTGTAGAGAGATCAAGGGTCATTGTCGCTACTACCAGCCAACAATGGGTTACACTCCCGAAAGAGCCAATGGGGCCACTGGTCCAAGAATTAAACTTTAGGATTTAATTTCTATAAATGATTGTAAGTCTATATTATACAATACCCAAAAATACTCGACTCTAAAAATTGGTTTCCATAATGCTAGTTGAAGGGAATATGAGAAGGCGAGTTCTAGACGAGGGGATTTTCTTTAAGGGGATTCAAGAAGGGAATTTCCGGTAGGTGTCTCATCGGAAAGGATCTGAAGCCTTCTATAGATGACTTAGGTTGTTTTGTGGGTTTGACCTATATTTTATGTTAGTTATAAGATTCTTGGTATCTCATATTTGTAAACCTTAATATTGAGAAATGAATAGAGACCTCTATAATTCACTTGTGGATCTAACACAATTACCTTGAACATGTGAACCATATATATTATTGTATGTTCCTTATTTTTCATATTATTGTATGTTCCTTATTTTTCTCATCATCTTATAATTGTTTGTGTTTCGCTCTTACCCTTATCACACACATAAAAAAAAGGTAACATAAGGATGTGATTGTTGGGAAGGAGAAAAAACAGATAAATAAGTGGACACCTTTCCTAAAATGCGACAAGTTAAAACCATCGATTCATATACAATAAATCACATTGGACATTGGATTGTTCGAGTCCGGTGGCTAAAGTATAAATTTAAAAGTAAGAAATGAGGATACGAATGAAAAACAAAACACAGGGATGACACCCGCATATTAGTTCAAACAACAGGGACGATCTCTGTGATTTACTCTATAATTAATTAGGACCCATTTTGACGAGTCTCTCCGCCCTGAATTACTCACAAGGCAAAAATACATCGATCTATCGACTCCATCGACTTACTGATCGGAGTGTGTGATCGGTGACTGGTGGCTGCGATTTTTCATGTTTCAGCGAAAAAATACGAGTCATATATACTAGAATCCAGAAATGCAATTCTTTGGAAGTTCTGAGATCAGTCCATCGCCGCCGGTGCCGACGGCATCGGGCAACAATGCGCATATGATGTATGTATTCAACAGGAACGGCGTTTGTTTGCTTTACAGGGAGTGGAATCGCCCTCTTCGTACCCTCGATTCCAATCAGGATCATAAACTCATGTTTGGTCTCCTTTTCTCTCTTAAATCCCTAACGGCCAAAATGGATCCATCCAGGTTTGTTTACTCAATTTCGTCTCCAATTCCATTACGCTTGTACGATTCTAGCTAGGGTTCCTCTGTCTTCACACCTAAGAATTTGATTACGGATTAGAATCACTGACAGATCATAAGCATATGCTTGGAAATTTGTTTTAGTTCTTTACGGTGATTTAGACAATTATGGACTTCATTTCCCTCGGATTTTCCCCTAGCAATGGTGCTTACTCCCGATCCGGAGCACCCCTTACACTCACGTCCTTTGGACTCTAGACTTTTGAATCTATTTCTACCTGTATTCATCGATTTTTGGTTACCATATTACTCATTTTAGCAGCGTTGAGAAAGGGAATCTTGGGGTACCTCAGCTACCAGGGCAAGGTTGTTCGTTTCACAGCTTTCGTACTAATACATACAAATTGAGTTTCATGGAGAGTCCATCTGGTATAAAGGTCAGCAAACCTCTTCTTTCTATTGGTTCTTTTTGTTGTAGATGCTTCACTTCTACTTATCTCTTTTCAATGATTTCATATTATTTCACTACTCTCTCATATGTTGGTTTCATACCTACATACATGTGGAAGAATAATTGTGTCCTTTCTGTCTGTAAAACGGCAAAGAGAACCATTTTCCTCAAATTTTAGATTTCCCCTCTTTTAAGATGATCCTGAACTGGTTGTTGCAAACTTATGATTTGGGGGAACATGAAGACAGTATGTTATATCTGTGAGCTATGTAAAGAATCACTCATTCCTATTTTGACTCAAGACTGATCAACATTTATAGGAGATGGAATAAAACTTTAGTTTTGTTATTACAAAGATTGTATTGTATATAGCTAAAAGAGAAATGGGAAATTAAACCTTTGAATCCCAATAGTAGTTGCTTTCATTTATCCTTCTATCTATGTATTTTTTATGCTTATTTTATTTCAATAATTGGTCTGCAGATCATCCTTGTAACACATCCTAAGGCTAGCGATCTCAGAGAGTCTCTGAAATACATCTACAATTTGTATGTTGAATATGTTGTGAAGAATCCACTATACACTCCTGGAACTCCAATAAAGTAAGCAATCTACTTTTAAAATTCTAGTGTGTGTGTGTGTGTAGTATGCAACCAGACAGAGTATGTAAAATTATGTATCAAATTGGTAGGTGAAATATGAACTCAACAAATTGAAGTCCTTGGCATAAGTTGCATGCTTATGTGAACATCTGTATAAATATTTGCACCAAAAAAAATGAGTTAATATTTAGGTATATATATATATATATATATATATATATATATATATATATATATATATTTGGCCTTGATAATTGTGATCCATATTTACATTTTTATCATAAATGTTATGACATGTTTGTATTTGGTTGTGTAGAAGCGAGTTATTCAACACGACTCTTGATCAATACGTGCGAGGCCTTGGCTAATAGTAGAGTAAGAAGGTATTATTATTATATGATTATTGATTATTCAATTGCAATGGTGTCTTTTTAAAGAGCAGTATTTGGCATTATAATACCTCGTTGGTTGTTTGATATTGTGTACAGAAACATCCATACATCAACTTGGAGCAGTTTTCAGTTCTAAACCATGCATTTGGTAACTACAAGGTTGATGTTGAAAATTATTGTGGGTTATAAACATTTAAAATGTAAAAGCATAAGAGATGTTTAGAAGTGTTTTAATTGAGTTTGTATTAGATATTGCATGAGTGAATATCTAATAATTAATGTCATTTGGTTGATAAATGTTGGTAGATGTAAAGAGTATTCCATCTCCGGAGATGCTTGTCCACAAAAGCCTATATCCAAGCCTTGACCCATAATCAAGTTATTGTATAGGCCTATGTGTTCTGTAAAGGAGGTAAAATAACATGCTTCTTGCAAAAAATATCATGAAAGATATTTGGGAGTTGGTAGTGTATGTTGTAAGCAAGTATATGTATGTATTGTCCAATAAGGTTGTAGGGTAGGGGAAGACTAAATAATGGAGTAATATACTGTAGGCGAGGATGATAGTAAAATAAGTAAATATTGTGACACATATTTAAAATAAATGTTTCAGATCAGTTAGCACTTAGCAGATCAAACGAGTGGATCGATTGGATTTGGATGGATACATCTGTAGTTGAATAGATTATACAAAACAGAACCCGAAATCAGTTGCGTCAACTGCAACTACATTCAATGATTAAAAAAAAGATAGCTGTGTATATATATGGAGGGAGCCACGTCAAAATGTCCACAATAGAGCGTAACGGTGTAACCTGTAAAACCGGGCTCGTTA